GGATTAATAACCGATCGAATATCCGCAAATAAAATATTGTTCATTCATGCGAATGTTTTCATTAAAAACAGATATTCGCTATTCGTTTGTTTAAAAAAATTCCCTAGTTCTCAACTGAAATCCTAGATATTCGTCATTCTTCCTCGTAGTGTAGACTCCTAGCTCCCAAGTAAGTGTGCATGGTTTTAGCATAAAAAGTGAGTTGAGCTCACAAGGATATTTCACCACTGTGCTATGTAAGGCACGTCTTTCTTCTTTTCCAAAGAATAAAAGTTCTGAAACTAAAAAGCTTTATTTCCCTCCTCTTATGCAAAAAATATCAAACTATATCATAATATCATATGCTTGCTCATCTACAAATAATAATTAATGCGAATGTAGCTCAAGTTCATAGAATATCAATGTCAAGTTCGTTCATCTTCAATGCCCTAGCATAGCCCACATGGTATTCCGCATAACTTTCTTTTGAGATCATCATGGTAGAAAGTGCTGTTGCAGAAACCATTATTCTTCCAAGCCGTACAACTGAAAGCATAAGTTTTGTGCTAAGTAGAGGGCCTATCAAGGTTTTGAGAAAACAACAGATCACTCACTATTCATACGATCCACAGCCGGCTTGACCTGAAAAGCAAGCATCGTTTTGTCAATGGGTAAACGCCTAAGGTATATTTGAAAATTTGCTTACGTTTTACTATCATTTTTGGGTTGAGATCCTGCTCAATCACCTGCGCTGCGTAGCTATCGTCCATCTCTTCTTGAAAAAAAAACATTTGAACATAAAAAAGAATTCAATATAATCGTGTAACTGTACCTATTGCCGAACATGCTAGGACTGAAATTATCATCACTATTCCAAAATAGGTAAACATGATTTGAAATCGGTTGTGTTTCTTTTAGCGGTGCGTTAGCGTAGATAAAAGGATTGAGAGAGAAGCTGTTATTCCGTTCGTTTCCTTAACTGTTTTTATACCCCTTTAAAGCATGAATAACCCAATGTTTGGAAAAAACCGAACAAATACCATTACCAATATAAAGTCTATTTTCAGCAATAATTGGTCAGTGTTTACAAACAACAGCAGGTGTGCTTACAAATAGAATTTTGAAACAGGAAGGACCTTTCTGTATGCAGCAGTATCGCAAGTTCAAAAATAGCATCAATAATTATGCTTTGGTGGAAAAAATTTCAAAATACAATAGACTACTACCTATGTCGGTACACATGAATATACTGCCTCACTGTAGAAAGAAAGTCTAGTTAAAAATTACCAACTTCACTACAAGGTAATCAAAGTTAAGAGTTTTCTTTATTGCTGTTCTAACAACTACTTAGTTCGCAACAAATTATTGTGACAGGGTTTCTCCCACGAGATTTTAGGTAACCAGAACTTGCAATTGCACTGAATGAGTGAAATAATATCTTTCATAATTGCAGAACTCTTCTCTCCATATTGAATCGCAACCTAACCGAATCGCTTCACGCTCAATAAAGTCGAACAGCGCCTTAGTGCCAAGTTTGTAAGAAAGTTCCTGGGCGCTTTTTTGAATATTTTTCTATAATGTTCTTTTTCACTGCTGGGTCATCTCTATTACGGTATGTTGCATTTATTTTTGTGAAATGGACTTGGCATCCGCTAGCACGTTCTTCGACTACTTCATATTTTCAACGGCCTAAACTTATATAACAAAGAAGCGAATAAGTGTAGAAGGGCGAAAAATGATGTTCTCCATATGTGATTAATTCTCAGTGCGTTCATAAGAGCAAATCGTTAAACCTTAAAATAGATACACTGACAAGTATCTCCTTCTCTAAATCCGGGGCTGCCCCCTATTGCAACAGGCTACCCAAAACAGTTGGGAACTCGCAAACTTACAGTCGCCCACATCCTTTCGCCCTTGACGTCGATTCAGAAAAAATACATTTTACCCAAAGTTCTATTTAAAGAATTTTGACGAACCAGCAGTGCTTACCAAAATTGCACAGCATCTTATCAAAAAGTTGCAAAAAGTGTTCTATAAATGTTTATAATCTCTCTTTCTTCGCCGTCCCGGTGTCGGTTCTCGCGAAATTCATACATACATACATATAAGATACAGTGTTAAATCACTATGCGCTGTAAGCTTTTCAATTT